CCCAAAAAAAGTTGTCCCCAAATCGCTGTATTCCATTTTTCCTCAAACAAAGCAAAACCCCATGATACGAAGGCTTCAACCCCATTTAAGGCCCAGGCGCCCTGGGGTGCGCTAGCCTAGTAGTAGTAGTAGTAGTAGTAGTAGTAGTAGTGGTAGTAGTAGTAGTAGTAATAGTAATAGTAGTAGTAGTAGTAGTAATCGTCGTCAGGCGGGATAAGGGTTAAAAAACTGTATAAGCATCAGAAAACTTTATAAGCATCAAACAAACTTGTTAAGCATCAAAAAAACTTTGTAAGCATCCAAAAACATACGTCCAACGCATCAAAAAAACGTCATAAGCATTAAAACTATTTTGCCCTGAATGTGAAAAGGCTTTTTGATGCTTATAAAGTTGTTTTGATGCTTTTGAAGTTTTTCTGATGCTTATACAGTGCCTTTAACCCTTATCCCCATGAGCTTATACAGTTCTTTTTGATCCGCTGAGCGTATTTTTGGAGCTTATTAAGTGCTGTTTGATGCTTAACAAGCTTCTTTTAAACCCCTATCCCGCCTGCACTGGGCTGAGAGGGGCGGACTTTAAAATCCCTTTCCCCTGCATGGCATTCTCTCTACTGCACGGCATAAAGGGCATGGGTATCATCACCCACCGCATTGGTTGAGTTTTGCATGTGTGATTCCGAAAGCAGACCGAGGCAGAAACCAAGTTTGGAAAGCGAAGGCCTGAGAGGTCAGGAGGAGAAAATGAAAAAGTACATTTTTGCAGTCCAGGACATACTGGAAGGTACAGTAGCGCAGTTGAGCTTCTCAGCCCATCGTGGCAGGCAGAATGGCAAGTTGCCTGAAGTACAGGAACCCTCAGACTTTCCTGGAAATAATTTGTCGGCTGCGCAGATCATTTTGTGACTCGATCTACGGCTACACTGTGGCTGGGGCAAGTCCATTTTCTGCCTCCCACTCCTGTAGGTTTTCTGACTCCAGTCGCTTGACCCAGCGCGCAGTTTCCTTTGTATGGCTGGCACTGGAACACTGTCTCTTCAGTGGCAGTTCCTCATCATCTCCACAACACGGCATGATGTGAGGTGTGGCTCTTATGAAACATTCTCTCGGCCAATGTCTCTCATTTTGACTACATGAGAGTCCATCCACTGGGCACGACAGGCGAAGGCAACATGCTTTGCGCAGGCTGACTTCGAAACGCGTTTCTGGTGGTGTTTCTTGGCTTCTCGCACCTCCTTTGGTGACCGAGACGAAGAGCCGCTCGAGCGCCGTCTCCGCGTCCAGGTCCTGTGAAGCTCAGCTCTGGCCCACCGCTTTTACACACTACTCTTACTTTTACTCCACTCTCCCCTCTCTCCCCTCCTCTCCCCTCTCCCGAATTCCACTCTTTCGGTCCTTCAGAAGGGCCTTGAAGCTCTCGGAGTCCAGAGCATCGCTGCCGCCTGCGGCCGCCTCAAAGACTTCGTCGCCCGACTGGCCCTGAAGAATAAGCACGTTTACACAAAGAGCTCTTCAGGCATCCCTTCTTCGGGAAGTGCAGATTTCGCAGACAGAGAGAGAGAGAGAGAGACGATATGACATGATATGACTAGATTTGTCACCACGCATTTCCTCTGCAAGTTGCAAGTTTGCAGCGCACGAGGAGCAGCGTTCCTCCTGGGTCATTCGGGACCGGAGAGCTTTCACAGCCTTTGCGCGGAGCTCCAAGACCTCCTTCTGCGCCTTTTCTTCTTTTAAAACACAACTTCACAACGTTCACTTTGAAGGCCATGGCTACTCCTCTTTTTAGTGCCAGGCTTTCTTGGCAACGGCTTCCTTGGAAGTCTTCACGTTGCTCAGAACCTTCTCCAGCTGCACCTGCTTCTGAAAGCCAGAAATCCTGGAAGCGAAGTGCAAATTATTGCGGTCCTCAAGGATCCGGTGCTGCTCTTGTAAGCGAAATACCTAGCGCAACGCACACACTCGCAAGGTGCGGGGTTGCTGTTTTGCTTTGCCTCCTTCTTCAACTTCGGCTCCAAGAGCAGAACGCCAGTGGCTTCGTCCAGCTGCCGGCTTAAGCTGTCGAGCATGGAGCGCACCTGGCTCTTTGATGCTCTCATCCGCCTCATCCGCTCTCCATTTTCAAGCAGAACGCCTCCTGGCCCTGGGACTCAGCTCGCACCGTGCCCGAGGCAATCGCCTCTGAGGCTGGGACCTGTATTGCAACATGACTCAACACAAGGCAGAAGAAGTCTCTGTTACACCTAAATCGATCCTCCAAGAGAGCCTTCAACTCTTCAGAGACCTGAAGTACCGAAGTATGCTGCAGTACACAGAAGGACTTCAAAACTTAGCTATCACACTGCTATCACCCTCCACGGTCTTTGCCTGCTGGAGTTTCAACTTTCCCTCCTCCAACTGGGCAGTGATGACTTCAACCATCTCTTGGACCTGTCAAAGACACATAGAGATCTGAAGGAGAAGGGGTTTCGGAGTGGTCAAAAGCGCGGCTCGCTTAAGTTAAGGCATCAAAAAACAAAACCGCATGGATTTTATAAAGCCGCTTTGCCCCCCGGCTAAGCCCCCGGGCTTTGCCCCCGCCTGCTGGCGCTGGGCCTCCGCCTGCCGAAGCTGCTCCGCTTCCTCGGCCCGCCTCCGAAGACGAAAAAGAAGAAGAAGAAAACTTACGATTTAACATTACGTCTACTTCTACTTCTACTTCCTTCTAGAAGAAAGCTTAAGTTACTCACTTCTACTTCTACTCCTACTTCTTCTTCTCTTTCAGAACCACACTGGGTTCCCCACCTCCTTCGAGCCTCCGCCTCAAACTTGGCGATGCCCACCTGATCCGGGCTTCGAACGTCTCAGAACCTTGAGCCCGCTCGATTCTTCGAGCATCTCCGTGGTAATGTAAGCTCTGATTGGACAAGAAAGCCTTGGTGTCCGAACTGACCTCATAGCAACACCTTTATTCTCGAGAAACGGTTGCAACCTCGCTTCAATAATCTTGCGCATCTTGCGCAGTGCACCGCATAGCCTGCGCCTCAAACCTTAAGCCCAAGTTTCTTCGGAAGGCCTTGCAACTCTTGTTTAAACTGTATCATGTATATGTGGGGGGTGTGTCGAATGTCGTTGCGGTGGTCGGGTTGTCATTTATTATTGACATTTTTGTTGCCGTGCAAGGCGTGGGTGCAGGAAGCAGCGAAAGAAACTTTAGCGCAAACATCCACAAGCTTTAGTGGCTTGCGAACACAAGGGCGAAAAGCGTTGTTGACTTTGTAGAAAGCGAAAGCTGAATAGTAATTCCGTAGAAACGTTAGTACAAGCTTTAAAAACACTCCCGGCATTTTAGCAGCAGCTCCTCGCGAAAACCAACTTCTCTCTCCACCAATTGACAATTACACTCGCAAAAACAAAACTTGGCACTGGGAGCACTGAATGGGAACGGCTCAAGCCCTTTAGAGAGGAGTACCCTAAGAGCGACCAGGATACAAGAATCTGAGTCGCAGTTGTCTGCAGCAATGACGCACACAGTGCATACATCACGTTAGCCTGGCACATTGCCATGAATCCTCCCAAGTCTGATGAGGCTTCCTAATGCTACTTTCGGCTTGTGTGTTTGGTGTGTGTGGAGGAACTTTGAACTGTTACTGAGGTGCCCTACCTAACCGCACTGAACCGCGCCTTCAAGTGTTGCTCCACAACTAAGGGCACAGGATGCTACAGGAGTCAAGTCGGATTTCCCGCATGTCGAGGCGGCCCAAGAAAAAACGAAGTGTGCTTTCTGTGCGAGCCTTCTGCCTGAAACGCAGGAACTTCTCAAAGGTCACCGGTTCTAGCCTGGCATGGATCGGACTGCTTTCAAAGTTTCAGAGATAAGGCGACTGACACGCGCAGGATCTTCTGTAGAACCTCCTGGCGCCTCATGCAAAGAGCACTGAAACACGACTCAAGGTGCGTCAAGAAAGACCTTGGGCAAAGGCAGCTCCACCTGAAACTCCTCTTTTCCAAAGGATGACACCTGGAAGACTCCAAACTCGGCAAGCACAATCTCCAGATCCTCTTCTGGCCTCCGCGCCGCAGAGCTCTCCATCACCATCCAGGTCAAACCTGCTTGAAAGCGCGTGTATGTCTCCTTATTCACGCATCCCCCTTTGCAGCGCTTGCTGTTTGCAAGTTGCACCTCTTGAAGGTCTGCATCCATTCCTGGTCAACCTTCAGGGCCAACGCACGGCGCAGGCCACGACCTGCGAGCACGAGCTTACTTCCCTTCTTTCTCTACACAGAACAGAAAGAATCGGTTACGGTCACTTCAATTCACTCTTCACTGATTCACTCCTCTTCCTCTCTTCTCCTTCATAAATCTCATTCTTCATGCTCTTTTCTTCCTCCTCGTCCTTCCGTGATGCTGAGCCGACCTCGGGTCTCTTCCAAAGTCTCCTTGCACCTCACGAGGTGACGGGAGGTGACGAGAGGTGACGTGTTGGCTTTTGACTTCTCACAGTTTGTGTTTCAACACACATGTTTTTAAAAAGAGCGCGTTTTGTGTTGGAGGGTTTGCCCCGCACCTCTGCAGTGACCGACCGCTGCTTTGCAGCCGGCTGCTCAGCTCCTCCACCTGAGTGAGAAGCTCTCGACAAGACCGAAAAGACAGAATTCGAAAGAAAAAAAAAAACTGTTGGAAGGCTTTTTGAAAGATGCTTTTTCGTCCTTTTCGGGGCCCGGGCCTCGCTTTTGACGTGCCGCGCTCCCTCGCCGGCTCCCATGGCCTCCCTCTTCATGGACAGCACACGCTCGGACCTTTTCCAGGTTACATGTGAAGCTGCGAGGCATTGCGAGGCAGTCCCCTGCGCCTCTCCAAGAGATTCTTGGCATCTTGGAGGTCCTGGCTGGCCCTCTGAACCGCCTCCCAAAAGAGCAACAGCGAGGGCTGGAGGGTGGAGGGAGATGACTCGGCTTGCGTGTTTGTTTGTGATTGTGGCTAGTTGTTTTTTTTTGCTTTTGACTGGGGCCTGGCCCTGCCAAGTGCCTGGCCTGGAGGATCTCCTCGGGGGCCGTGGAGGCCTCGAGGCCCAGCTGGCACGCGGCCTTCGTGGCCTCCTGGGCCTCACCCACTCGAGCCTGGGCAAAAGGTCAAAAGCCACAGCGGAAGGCGGAAGCATCCTGGGTCCTGGGTCCCAGGGGGCCTCCGTCGCCTGAACCTCAGCAGCTGCCTCCTTCAGGAGCTGCTCCACGCCTTGCAAAAGGCAAAGGCAACTCTCGCAAACAGCTCTTCTTCCCTTCATCTTCTGACTCTCCTTCTTCTCCTTCTTCTCTTCTCTGCGCCGGGCTCCGCACGGGCCAGCTCCATCTGCCGCCGACGCTCCGCCTCCTTGCAAGATGAATCCTCTTACTTTCAAAAACAATTCCTCCGAGCGAAGCAAAGACACGTCTTCCCTGAATTCACATGTGCCTCCCGCTGCTTTAGCTCCTCTGCAATCCGCTTTTGAACCTCCAAGAAGAAACGAAGGGCTGAAATAAGATCCTTTGCGTAGCTGCGAGAATTGCCTGAGTGATGACTTGCTGCATCTCGTCATTCACGCGGTCCCGCAGCGCCCCCATGGCCTCCACAAAGCTGTCGAAGCAAAGGCGAAGCTGGTTAAGCAAAGCTCTACAAAGCCTGGAAATTCGAGGCAGCGGCCTTGTCCAGATCAGCCTGAGATGAAAGCTGGCCAAGCTGCTGTGCTTCAACCGACTGGGCATGCACCGAACTGCCTGCAGCCCCTTCCAGTTATCTGGGGTTGCGTTACCTGCAGCTTTGGCTTCAAGTGACCGCTGCACTCCCCCCGTACCTGGGCCCGAGCGAAGCTTCTTCATCACCTCTCGCACGTTGTTCGCTGCCTCCTGGCAAAGCATGCGGTGGAGTTCAACCGAGAAGTTAGGTGAGCGTAGTGCAAGCAGCTCAGCTTCCGCCACTTCCGGTCCGCCTCCTGCTTCCGCTCCTCTTCTTGGCGCCGCCTGCGTGCCTCGGCCTCGCGCCGGGCCTTTTCAAGCACAGCGCACAGCGCATCACCGCGCGCTTTCCCTTTCCCTTCTGCCTGCTCTTCCTCGCGCTGGCGCCGCCGCCGTGCTTCCTGAGGACAGGGATGCGCTCGAAAGAGCTAAACAGAGCTAAACTGCTACACCGCTCCACAAGAAAAAATGAGAAACGTAATCAGACCAAACCCGGCCTCCCGCTGGCGGCGCTCTTCCTCCTCGCGGCGACGCTTCTCCTGTTGACACTGCGTCACTGGATGTCAGATGTCACTGGATGTCACTGGAAGGCCCTGAAGGTGCCTCCTCCCGCTTTTCTCGGGGATCTCGGTCCCGAGTTCGGGGGGGTGCACCTAGTTAACCGGAGAGCTTCAAGGAATGAATGAAAGAATTAATGCAAATGTGGTGTTTAGAAGTCCTAACGGCTCGGCCAGGTGCCTACGCTGATCCGCAGCTTTTCATCCACTTTGCCATCCCAGGGGACCTCCCGCATCTCAAAGCTCTTTCAAAACAGAAGAATGGCAAAGGCAAAAGGAGCCAAAAGGAGCCAAGCGCCTTCCAGTTGGAGGTGGGCGGCATCACGTTTTCACGGCCCAGGTTTCCACCGTTGTAGGCCCAGACTTGGTCGCCACCCACTTTCGGGCCAAACCACCAGCCATTGAAGGAAGGACCGTCACCTCAGAAGAATCTCACTGCTGAAAATTTCACAGTCTCATATAATATACCTGCAGGTACAGCTGTTGATGTTGGTGCTGGCTTGCGCCAGCATTTCCGGCATTTCACGAAGTTTGCTCCGTTTTGCCAAGCCTGTCATCCAGCTGTCATCCAGATGAATCTTCTCGACTCGAATGTTTCGAAATGTTCTCAACTTCTGTCAGTGCAGCCAAGGATGGCAGAAATTTAGCATTACCCGAATCCTGAAAATGCAACAGCATAAGCAAAACAACAAAGCCGTCCTCAGAGCATCAGACATTGTGTGTCTGGAATATGTGCCTCTGCACCGCTCAAACACGGACGGCGTGTGAAGGGCTTGGCTTCAGTCCGTTGAGGGTGCTGATTGTTGATTATGATTGATTCGCGGCCGAGGGTTTGGGGCTTTTGACAGGCAACAAGAGTACGACACTCCAACAGCAGCGACAGCTACGAGGATGGCGACCCCGACACGCCACATCCCTGCGACAGTTGGCGCTGTTGATACGCGTAGGTCCAAAAGCGACGACAATTACCTTAATTACACGGATCGCGGCCCTTGAATTGTGCAACGCCCTCTCGACTTTCCATTCTCCGGCTCCAGAAGCGACGACAGATAGGAGGACGTCAAACTCGTATGACTTTTGCAACATTTTTGACAGATGGCGACCTCTTATGATGTTGCACATTTTTTCAACACAGGACAAGAAGATGACGCACTCCAAAAGCGCCGACGGTTAAGAAGATGGTGACCCTGAGACGTTGCATCCCCGTGACTGCGGATGTTTTTGCAACGCGACAACACAAAGACGAGGCTCCAAAAGCGACAGCCGTGAGGATAGCGGCCCCGGCGGCGCCGGCGGCCCCGGCGCGTCTCATCCCCGTGGGTGTTGGCGACACCTTTTTGACGGCCAACAGGTTGAATACAAGGCTCCAAAAGCAACGACAGCTATGGGGATGGCGACCCTGCACCTGGCATTTTTCATACGAGCATAAGTGCATAAGTTAAAAAATCCCAAAGTGGCATCGTTACACCGATCGCGACCCTCAAGGGTCCAGCCGGCACGACACTCCTGCGACACTCACGCGCCACTGGCGGATGCAAACGCAAACGCGGAAACTCCAAGAAGTCCGTTTGCGTAGGAAACTCTCGAGCCTAAGCTCCTTGCTCTGAGAAAAGCTCATCTGACAACTCTGGCTTCTGCCGCTCCTGCGGTTAATGGAGCTGCCGTCAACGATCTTCTGAGCGCTTTGCGCACGTGCGGAAGCTTACTGGATCCGGGAAACCGTAAATTCAAGAATGCAACGTTTCATCGCCTTCATAACGCGCCCCGAAGCCTTGCTGCAGCGATTTGGTATGGCAGGCGCAGCATTTGCGTACTTTCGACTACAGCAACATGGCCCGCTAAAAAGCAAATCGTGATTTGGCGGAAACACTGGCCTGCTTGGGCTATCCAGCATTTCTTGGCAATGTGTAGTTGTCAGGATTTGTTCGTTGCAGCAGCCGTGGGGGGATGTCTTGGAAATGAGCCGCACGCAAATCTTCAGGATTGTGACAGTGGCTCGCGTATTGCAAATTACAGCATTGTACGCGCGCGATCGCGTGCGCGATAGGTTGCAGAAAAACATGCCTTTATGCGCAATCAAAGAAACGCTGCGCGGGCCAGTGATTGTTGCAGGTCGTACGTAATCGGGTCCAACCTTGCATGAAGGACTTCCAGGTGCGTTGTCATTACATTTGTTTAGCAAACCCTGGGCAATTTTTTTCCATGTTGTGTAGACCTTCAAGGGGCCTGGGGCCCATACTTGTTATCATGAGTTCATTGTTGTCGAGTAATGGATGGGATGTTCAAGGATGTGGAAAAATCTGTGGGGACCATACTTTAAACTCTGATGTCTTTAGTCCAGGGACTGCGTGTTCTTGGAACACGAACGTTATGATGGTTTGGGCACGGATGCTGGTGACCGTATACTTTTGGAACACGATAGCTTCCGTATCTTGCTCGAAGATGAAAGTCATCCAGCACGTCCGCAGAGCGAAGGAGAGCATGAGAGGCCCAAGAGGACAGCTGCCAGGGATAAGGTTGACCAAGATGTGTCCTCAATTATGCACTTGCGGGATTTTGGCCTTTCAACACGATGGCCTCTATCGCGGCTGAAGACACCGTTCCGTCCAGTACACTTCCTGTAAACTTTTAGCTTCGAGCAACACACCTCATGCATACATGTAATGGACATACTGTTGTGACATGCTTAGGCCAACTGGGTTTTAACTGTTAGATGTGATCTTGATCGCGTGCCAAACTTTAGCTGAGTAATGAAGAGAATAGGTAGACCCACGCATCAGCTCAAATGTAACAGATCAATACGTGGTGCGAGCTGGATCAAGGGCGCCTGACGTAATCACACGAATCGGATCAGTAAGCCGGATCAGCTCCACGGATCACACGAAGCGTATGACGAGAGGGTCGCCGCGTCTGAACCAGGGATACTAGAGTTTAGTCGTTGCAGAAGGTGCGAATTGATGGATCATACTAGGGGACTAGCCCCCCTTTGGGACTCTCTGATGCTAGTAGAGATGGCGTGAGCATGAGATTAAAAGGGCAAGACCCGAGTCAATACCTTGGGGGCGTAGGTTAAACAAACCCCTTTAAACCATAAACCCTTAAACCCTAAACCCTCATACTGTTAAACCCTTAAACTGTTAAACCCTAAACGCTTAAACCCCTATCCTGAAACTCTAAACCCTGAAACCCTAAACCCTTTCACCCTAAACTTTAAACCCTTAAACTCTAAAAAACCCTTAAACTGTTAAACCGTAAGCCCTTAAGCTGTTTAACCCTAAATCCTTAAACCCTTAAACCCTTAAACCCTTAAACCCTTAAACCCTAAACCCTAAACCCTTAAAACCGTCAACCCTTAAACCCTTGAGCCCTCAACCCTTAAGCCCTCAACTCTTAAATCCTTAAACCCTAAACCCTTAAACTCTAAACCCTTTAACCTTGTGAAAAGAGATCCCGGCCTCTCCCACACTGGCAGCTCTGAAGAAGACTTCGAAGGTTTCCCAAACCTGATGGAATATCTGAAGATGAATCTCGGAAAGCCCTGTTCCAGAATTGATAATCTCAAGATAACGAATGGACACCCTGTGTCGTTCCCAGAAAGAACGTCCCACGTTCAGCTTTTCTCCACCGCCCCGCAGTGTTGATCGGTATGGCTTCAAGGCACCTCTACCCTGTCCCTCCCTTTGAGCCTGGGAGCATCGGGGCAAGGAGCTTCCGGCAGTCAGGACCTGACGAGTGCGATTTCACACTCCTGTATATTTTTGCTCCTAGCCCCGATCCTGCTTTGCACCTTGCCGACTCTGCAACCATTCAAGCGCAGCCTTGCGATGAGCAGTTCTGCTCAGTTCTTGCCCTCCGTCATGTAATTTGAAGGAACCCAGACTAAGAACCTCTCTTA